CGTCCAGCACCAGCAGTGGCAGGCCGGCACCGATACGTGTACACGTACACATATCTACTTCAGCTCTATCGTACGCCTACACGGGCAGCCGGCCGGGCGATCGACTGATCGACTAGCTACCAGTTTACGTACGACGGATGCAATAATCATGCAGTTGCACGTGCCTGGGCCTGTCGCCGCAGTAGGTTTTGTTTGTTGAATGAATGTACGACGACTAGCCACCTTGTCGTGGTAGCACGTTTGTTGAACCAGTCGTCGTCTTCCGTTTTGTGTTTGGTGGTAAAAAAAAAAAAAGAAAAGAAAAGAAAGAAACAGAAGGGATCGATTCGATCATCGACGACGACGTGAGCTGGCTGGGCCCCGCGGAGCTTGGCGTTACGTTGCGTTGCGTTGCGTTGGGTGCGCGAAACTGCAAAGGCAGCGGCAGGCGGCAGCAGCATTGCTATCGTACGTTTGCCGCTGTTGGACTGGGAAGTAATTAGATTCTTCGTCTCATCATGGTACCGATACCGGGCCGTGGGTTGGTCGCTGTAGGCTGTGGTTGTTGTAGCGCGGCGCTCGCTGATCGATCTCCTCGTGCGCGCGTGCCGCCGGATTCCGCGACCGACGGCGGTAAGCAAACTAAGCTGCGGTCAAGTCTCCCGCAGCCGCATGCGCATGCGCGCGCGCGTGATGAGCAAGCCGACGGCCGGGCGAGGCGGGCGCGCGCGCGCGAGGCCATGGCCGACCGACACGTTCTGGTCGATCGGATCGCGCGCCGACACGAGACGGATCGCAGTGTTTTTGCTGCTACATGGTAAAAAACCAATCTAATACCAGATGTGACTAATCCTACTACTATAAATCTGGACATACCTCTATTCATATTTACATTTATATTTACAGTACTAGAATATGTCACATCCGATTCTAGATTCGGTTTTTAAAGTGGATGGAGTAAACTTGTACTACTAGAAAAATGGTTTTTCCAGGCAACCAAAAATGGTTTATTCAGGTGGGAAAGGACCGCCTGCACGCAAAGGCCTACGAAAATAGATGATTTTCGCAGGCGGCCATGCAATCCGTCTGCAAAAATCATTTTTGTAGGCGCCATCTATTTTCGTAGGCGGTAGAACCACCCGCATGCAAAAATATTTTTAGCGAATAAAAAAAAATCCGTCGCTACCACCCCGCCGGCAGTGCCGCTGACCTCTCCCTCCGGCCGATGGCGGCCTCCCCTCCCCTCCTCGAATCCAGGCGGCGGCGGCGTAGTCATCGTCGTCGTCGTCGCAGCCGGGCGCGGAGGAGTAGAACTGTGGGAGAGGATAGGGAGGGGCCCTCCCCTCTGGTCGCGCCACCACCTCCCCTCCCCTCCTCTGATGCAGGCAGCGTCATCGTCGGCGTTATCGTCGTCCCGACCGGCCATGGAGGGTAGAGTTGAGGGACAGGAGAGGGAGGGGAGCCGCACCTCCCGTTCAGCCGCGCCGACGCCGATGCCCTTCCCCCGCCGTCGACCCCTCCGCCTGCGCCGCCGCCGATGCCCCTCCAGGGGAGGGAGCCGGAGGGAAATGAGAGAGAGGAGGGTGAGGAAAATAGGTGATGGAGAGGATAAGATGCTGGAGGAGAAGATAAGGATAGGACTTGGATTTTTTTTCTGTAGCCATGATTTTTACAGGCAGATTACATAAGGTTCCGCCTGCAAAAATCATTTTTTTACAGGCGGACCTCTTAGGTGGCCCGCCTGGAAAAATTGATTTTCGCAGGCGAACGACGAGCTTTACCCTGGTTTATATTTTTGTAGGTGGTCATTTGGCTCCAAAAGTCATACCCGTCTGAAAAAACCTCACGTGTGTGAAAATGCTTTTTAGTGTTGTATACTCCCTCTAGATATATTTCTATTAACTCATCCCTTATATAATATAACTAAAAAATTATATCCATGCATATAATCAGCAAATATTAAGATGACTACTTAATTTAGCACATGAAGATTACAAATATGATTATTTCATTTGAAAAAACTAAAAAAATAAAACATGCTTAAAACTTTTGGATGAAGAGATTGGGCAATTCAACCAAAAACTATCTAGTACTGGTTTTCATATTATATAGATAAACATTATATATCTAGTGGATAGTTTCTTAAAAATAAATTCTCTCATCCAATCACCTCTTTTCTCTTTATTTTATCCACCTATATATCCCTTTGTCTCCATTTTTGTTTTATGGATAGAACTGATATTTTCAGTAGAAACGGTTTCTTTCCCTTTTTTTTTTCTCTTTCTTCGTTGACTCTCTTGTCATTTAGTTTTTTTTTACGTGGCAACATATTTAATTGTATAAGAACTAGCTAAAGTTGAAGGTTGGTACTAACCAGTTCACCTTTTTTTCTTTTATAAAGCAAGATGATTTGTAAATGTACGTACTCTCCAAGAAAATGGATTTCGAGCACTCAAGTACGCTCGCAATCGTTGTTTTACTAGGATTTTGTGAAAAGAAAAGACAACCTACATCACTTTGTTAAATATCACATATATGTTTAAAATCAATCTATCCAAGAAGATACCAAAACAACAAAACTACTACTAAGAATATTACGTTAAAGATAGATCATCATATAGGGTTGATTAGAGATAACTATTGTTTCACCCAACGGCTTAAAAGTTGTACGTAGGCCTTATGTTTCCCTAACAACAACAACGACAACAACAACAATAACAATAATAATAATAAAACCTCCAAAATTAACTGCTGATACGCTCCCATCACCACCAGCGAATTACGTCGAACCAACGACAGAAAACATTGAAGTGTAATGAAAGTCCCAACATCTTGAATGTCGCCGTCGCAATTCTGAACATTCAAAACAAGGTTTTGACTTGGAGAGTCTATCCCATGGCACGGATGAGCACATAGGGGGAGGTCGTATAACATCGCCTCTAGGGAGGTGTGTGGCGCACACAGGTGTCAACGATGTCGGTACTTAAGCGGTCGACTAGATCTATAACAGATTGGAGGCTTTATATGCCACCGCCACCAAATCCGGTTGAAGTTAACCCCTGTCACCGATGTAGAAGCCCGCCACCACGTCCACCACTACCATGTGCCACCTCTGGGATGTCTCCAGCGCTGATACCATTGAGCCTCCCCGTCGATGGCAACCGAAGTGTTGACCCACAGACACCATTGAGCCTCCTCATCCACTAGCGCTAGTGGACTCGAGGGCATCAATGGTGTCCTAGTGTGAGTATGCGCCGCTGCCGTCTTCATTAAGGAACATTCGAATCCGACGCTCCCTTCCCGCCATTGTCGCAAGCTTAGCCAAATCTCGGTGGTCGACCTCCCGATGACCAATGACAGTGCCGACCACAACACATAGCAGCCCCGCCGCTCCCGTTTTTCTTGCAGCTACATAGAATTTCGGTGTTGGTGAGGCGGTAGGGTGGTTGAGGCAACACGGTAGGTCGGTAGCTGTGTTCTGCCTATGCCTCGATCTAGATATTATGGAGGTTCTCTATTGGTGTTGTTCATGTGTAGCGAATGTGCTGTGATCTAGATATAACAGAAGTGCTCACTTCTGTTGGTGTTCTACATGTGTAGCTTAAATTTGAGCCTTGTGAATTGAATGAACATGTGCCGTTTATGTTTAGACCTCATGAAAAAAAATGAAGGCACACTGCCTCAAAGAAGTAGTACTTTCTCTTCTAGGTAATACGTCATTTTACTTTGAAATTCCTCTTAATTTTTATAAGTCGATCAAAAACACTTTCTTTTACCTTGGGAAGCAACAATTTAACTTGGTATTTGAAAACATTCCAATATCAAGAAACGATAGTGGAATAATTAAGATCCAAAGATGGCACTACATGATGATATGGTACTAATGATATATTGATATCATTTGCGGAAGGTGACGATGTAAACGCGATTCACGAAGAAGATGATGTGTGTGCATTGAAACCGCGACTACGTATGAGTCAAGATAATGTGACGATGTAAACGCAATTTACGAAGAAGATGATGTGTGTGCATTGAAACCGCGACTACGTATGAGTCACAGATAATGTGACAAAACATGCTGATAGATGAAAGGAACGATGACACCCATAGTTTTGGTTATTTATTGGATTCAAGTTCACAACTATATTGATGTTATATTGATGTGACGACAATTTAAATAGGCTTTATAGATGATCATGTGATATAATGAGATAAGTCATATCGTGTACATTAGTTAAGAAAATTAATCGTGTATATGAGTTATGAAAATTACTTCGGATTATTTTTAAACGAAAAAAAATATAGCTTTAGACGAAGTACCACAATAAGTGTTTTATAGTTATTTTAGGATGCATGAAGTTTTTAATGTAAATTATTTCCAATGTTTTTTTTGTCCGAAGGTTATTTTATAAAAAAAATACCAAAGTTTGTAGAGCACAAATTTGACAAAATCTTTAAAAGAATTAGGTTTATCGATAAGTTATGAATCAGCTAATCATAAAAAAAAACCCCTAAAATTCATCAATGCCGATGGACTCATCATCCTTAATAACACCTGACTAAAAATGTCATCCAGACTTAATCATCACATCATCACCGTCATCTTCTCTAGCATAGCAAAAGCACTATTCACTCATCATCATCAAAAAGAAAGAATCATCATCATTAAAAAAAGAAAAAAAAAAAGGGAGAACTCGATGAGATCAGCCTACTACGCGCTTCCATGAATTCGCCCATGGCCCCCACCGTGGCCTTTCAAGTTTCAACCCCAACCACCCGACGACCACCTCTCCCCCCCCCCCGCGCTGCGGCCGCCGAAATACCCGCAGCCACCCGCCGCTGACGGTCAACCCACCTTCGATCCACCCGGAACACCATCCGCCCGTCCACCGATCCCCCCCTCGCCGCATCCACGCCGTCCCTTTTAATCCACCCGTCTCCGTTTCCCACCCCCCGCGTCGTGGGCCCCACCTGCCGCATTCCCACCAAACCTCCTCCCCCCGCCCCCGCCTCCTTCCTCCCTCCCTCCCTCGCGTAGTCAAACCTTTCCTTCTACTACTTCTCTTCTTCTTCCTCCTCTTCTCCTCCTCTCCTCGCCGAGGACGCATCGGAATTCAGGTGGAGGCAAGGATTGCATGAGCTAAGGTGAGGTGTGTCCGGCGTCGCGTTCGCGTGCGAGGTGGTGGTGGTGGTGGCTGTAGTGTGGAGGTGGTGGGGAGTGTGAGGAGAGGGAGGGGATGGAGGTGGGGGAGAGGGCGGCGATGGCGCTGGGAGCGGGGTTCGACCTCACGTCGGACTTCAGGCTCAAGTTCGCCAAGGAAGGGCGGCTGGTGGAGCTCGACGAGGCCGGGGCCAGGGACGTGCCCGTGCCGGGTGGCGGCGTCGGCGGCGGCGCGGCGGCGGTGCTACGCGGGGTGCCGCGCGACGTCGGCGTCGACAAGGGCGACCGCATCCGCTTCCGCTCCGACGTCCTCGAGTTCAACCAGGTACGCCCTTGCCTTGCCTCCCTTCTGCTGCAACCGCTCCAATCTTGGTTGACTCTGCTCTGCTCGGCTCGGGCTCTTGCTGCTGCCGCGTGGTGATTAGTTCGCGAGATTTTCTTTTCCGGGGACACGATCGCGAGAGATGCGCGTGCCTCCTTTCGTGTTTTTTCGCTCGATTTCGCTGTTCTACTGGGGTTGCGTCGTCACAGATGCTTGGAAAAAGATTGGAGGTGGCAACTCTGATTAATTAACCGTGCAGAACTCGATCAGACCGTTGCTTCGCTTGGTTGAATGAATCGGGACAAGGGGACTGGGATTACAAGCTTTTACCCTTGTTCTTGGTTACTTACAGTTCACCATTTCTGTTTCTAACGAGATCTTCTTTGGGAAGAAGGAGAAGAACTCTACGGACAGCGAGCAGAATTGGCAAAGAGTAAAGAAGCCGCGGCTTGCTTCCGTGAAACGGTCACACAAATTGATTGACTGCTAATTTTATCCCATCGCTTGACCTGTGGAAATCTCACTTGAATAAGACGTGCAATTCCGTCTAATTTAGGCACATTTTGCCCAATTTTTTGGTTCCCATCCATCACCTTAACTTCCATACCTATCAGTACTTTCCTTCATTAATGTTAAGAGAATGGTCTTCGCCTCATGCCTTGTTTGTCAGTTAAGTCGAGCCACAGATTTCGGCTTAAACATGCCTGTCTGGCATCAATCAATAAAATCTTCACACTAACCATTTTTGAATGTTACACTATGCTGGCATTCTAATGGTTGTACGTTTAAGTCCTTAAATAGTGGTTCTTGGGTGAACTTCAGCTGGCTAGAATTCAATATCATCGAAAATTTTCTCGTGGGGAAAACGAACACTTATTTTTCTTTCCTGAAATATCCTATAGGATTTTGAATGCTGCAGTTCGCGATTCTTGTTTCTCTGTCGAAAAAGATTCTGGGATAGCTAAGTGTAAACTGTTCGAGATCTTTCCTGTAGAGTGGATCTGTGGTCATCCCTAGAAAATCTGGTTGGAATCCCACTCAGTTTTTTCATTTCCAGACAGGAATTGAAACAGCTGTCTCTGTACATATGTTCACACATATTTGGGGGGTTTTTTTATTGTTGCATTTAGGAATTTATATTAGCACAAAAGAACAAACAGTACTTCAGTTATTCCTCCCCGAAGTTTAGAAGGCTAGCAAGTGATGCATAATCCGTTGGCAGAAGAGGCTGGTCCTTGTCAAACTGGTAGTACTATGTTTGTACCTTGTCAAAATATTGTCGACCTTTTGAATGTGGCTTCTTCAGATGAGACTAGCTGCACTGTCTTTCTAAAGCACGATCGCAGCATTTCATTGGACCACATGGCCTCTTAATTGTGTAGAACCTTCTTGCTTTTGAAGATGAAAAGCTGCTTTTCTTGATGCCTGTATTTAAATACAATTAACATGGTAGACAATGGATATTCCCTTCAAGGCCATGAGTAGAGTTAGGTGTTTTTCTACATGGCTTTCCAAATGTGAAGTTCAGCTTTCGTGTATTAGAGATATGCTTCAGCTCGATCCTTCTATTCTGATATGATTGCATTTGATTTTCCTGACAGATGTCCGAGTTACTTAATCAGAAATCTTCAGTCCAAGGGAAGGTGCCTTCAGGCTATTTTAACACTCTTTTCGATTTAAGTGGAGCTTGGATGACAGATGCTAAAGAGACTAAACATCTAGCATTTGATGGATATTTCATCTCGTTGTACAAGTTGCACCTAAAAACTTCTCCATTGGTTCTTCGAGATGAAGTTAGAAGTGCTGTTCCACCGAAATGGGACCCTGCAGCACTATCACGGTAAAGCACTTTGACAACTGTTTTTTTGGGAGTTCTCATTTTGCCAAATATCTGTGGTTTAATCTTGGGGGTTAGCTTCTTAAGTGCACTGTATGTGTATTTATTGGTTTGCCTACAATATGATTTATTTTGTTTTAGCTGGCTTTGAGTCACATACTTTTTTTTCCCTGGCCATATATAAAATCTATATATGTGAATAAAAGCAGCTAGATCTTGTTAATTTTCAGGTTTATCAAAACTTATGGGACACACATAATTGTTGAAATGGCAGTTGGGGGTCAGGATGTCATTTGTGTTAAGCAAAGTCCTTCTTCAACCATTTCATCAGCGGACCTAAAGCTACACCTGGAAGATCTTGGTGATTTCCTGTTTTCTGATGGGAGGAATCATTCCCCGATACATCGCAAGACCAGGGATGGCAAGAGCAAGGTACAAAATGGTTCTACCCTCAATTCACGTAGCAACCTGCTGGAAGCAAACATATCTAATCCGATTCATTCAATATAGGTGCCTGATGTTTTTGTCAGGATGGAACAGCAGCCTAATAACCTACATCTTTCTAGCTACTCAGAATCATCAACCAAAGATGTGAGTATTTTTCTTAGTTTAATGTGTCAGTTGGTTCTCTAGCCGCGCTTTGCATACTGAAAGATCACTGCTTTCCCAAACAGGGCCTGACAATTACATGCTCGAAAAGAGGTGGAGATGCCTCTATAGCCAGCCATTCCAAATGGTTACAAACCGTTCCAAGGGTTCCTGATGCTATAATGTTTAAATTTGTTCCTATCACCTCTCTTCTTACCGGCATTCCTGGTAGTGGTTACCTCAGCCATGCCATTAATTTGTATCTTCGCTGTAAGTTCTCCTATAAATTCCCTTTTCTGTTCCACAAACTTCAAATGTTAGTCTGTCATTCTATAATTGCTTCTTCCGGATTGACTGCATTACTAACTTTCATAACCTTTATTCTGAATCGAACTGCAATTTGGATAAATGAATCCTTATAAAGTTTGTGCTCTGTCAGATAAACCTGATCCTGAAGACTTGCAACATTTCTTGGAGTTTCAAGTGCCCCTACAATGGGCGCCTTTGTTCAACGAGCTTATCCTTGGGCCTCAAAAGAGAAAAGGCTCCTATCCTTCATTGCAGTTCAGATTTCTTGGTCCCAAACTTCAAGTTAGCACTTCTCAGGTACTTGATTGTTACATTGCACAATCTTTTTTTTTAAAAAAAATTTCTTCTTTCAGTTTACAATTCACCGTAACTTTTGAAGCACCATTATGTCAGTAAACACGCACTCGAAGGTGCGAACTAGCAGTGGTGGTGTGTGCATGTGCGTCTGCCCTGTAAATGCAAAGAAAAAGGAAAACGTAAAACTCGAGGTTCAGTCTATTTACATTGTTCTTGTGTTGGGTCCAGGTATCTAGTTCTCATAAGCCTGTAGTAGGCTTACGGTTATACCTGGAGGGGAGGAAGTGCAACCGGCTGGCCATCCACGTCCAGCACCTGTCCAGCGCCCCCAGCATGCTCGGGGACTCGCTGTCGTCGTCCATGTCGGAGTGGCGCGAGTCGGAGGAGGTGGGCGCCGGGTACATCGAGCCCATCCAGTGGAAGAGCTACTCCTGCGTCTGCACGTCCAAGGTGGACTACAACCCGGAGTGGCTCAAGCGCGTCCCCGGCGGCCGCGGCGTGTTCGTCGTCACCGGCGCGCAGCTGGTGACCAAGGGGACGTGGTCGAGGAAGGTGCTCCACCTCCGGCTGCACTACACGCACGTCCCCGGGTGCGCCATCCAGCGCACGGAGTGGGCGGCGGCGCCCGCGGCGTCGCAGCGGGGGAGCTTCCTGACGACGATCAGCACGACGCTGAGCTCGCCGTTCACGCAGCTGCAGGCCGCCGCCGCGCCGGCGGCGCCGCCGAGGAACGAGCCGGCGCCCGCGGCGCTGCTCAACTCCGGCGTGTACCCGGACGGTCCGCCCGTGCCGCTCCAGTCGAGGAAGCTGCTCAAGTTCGTCGACATGTCGGAGGTGGTGAAGGGCCCCCACGACGTGCCGGGGCACTGGCTGGTCACCGCCGCCAAGCTCGTCAAGGACGGCGGCAAGATCGGGCTCAACGTCAAGTTCGCGCTGCTCAACTACGACGGCACGCAGCCGGCGACGGCGACGATGGCCGGTGGTGATCAAGGGCATGGGCTGCTGAATTGAGATTTTCGCCGTTTGTTTGTACATATCACAGCAGTTCATCACAGCTTTGCTGGTCTTTGTTAGGTTTCATCGATCAGGATTTTGGTTTGGGACTTGGGAGCAGATAGGATTAAGAGAATGAATTTGTTACAGATTTTTTTTTACTTTTTGGGCGTATAGGAAGTGTATAGAACAGGAGATCCAGGACATACAAACAAAAAAAACCATCGAGCAGTGTGTTGGCAATGCTCCAATTTATTTTCTTTTCTTGCTGTGTAATTAGAGTCTTTTGCGTGTAAATTATTATGAGTTTTGTTTGCCTGTAGATTGGCCGGCCAAATAAGCCGATATCAGAACGTCCAAACGGGTCAACGGGTCGCGAAGTGAATATGTTAAATCTAGGCCAACAAGTAAAAGTGAATATTTCTCACAGTGTTCATGTTTATTAAGCGAAATGAGTGTAACTTAACTGGTCAGATTTCTTGTGATGAAACCAGCTCACCCGGGTTCTAAACTTAACACAAGTACTTGTATTTATGGCTAATAAATGTTTCAGTGATAGACAGCATATGATAGCACGGCGTCTATGGTGCCTGTGGTGACTTTACGTTGCCGGCTCAGCCTTGGGTAGGGTGTGTATTCTTAGGGGCGAGCGTTTGCGTTTGTAATGAGTTTCTAATGAAAATATAAGATCATTTTTCCAACATATGGGTAAACAAACATCTAAGAAAATTTAGGATTCCTTTAGGATAGGGAAAATTTTCAGAAAAAAGTACTAAATTTAATTCAATTCCTCTAAAATTCCGAGAATTGCCATCTCCATACACTACGTGTGAATTCCCTTGTGTACTCTTCAACTTAACAGCTCTAACCAAATTTAAATTTTAACACTTAATTTTAAAATTGATGTTGATATCTTATTTAATCCAACTTTATTTTCCAACAAAGTCACTAGGAACATTTCTATTTTTAGGTCGTTAATAAGAGTTTCGTTTTATAATCAACAAAATGATGATACTTGATATATTTAATTTTCCAAAATCTATGGAAATTAAGGACTCCTTGGTATAGGGAATTTTTTCCCCAAATTTTCACACAAAAAAAATCCTCTAAAATCTCCGGTTCAAAAGAGACCTCATGTCCGGCCAAATAGATGGAGCGAAGTCGTCTGATCATCTCCGTCCACTAACGCGCGAATCTAGACTTGTCCTTCCAGAAACCTTTTCCGTTGTGCCCAGCTGTCTCCGTTCCATCTGCCCAAGCTGACGCAATTTAAATTTACTCCCTAAAATCTAAATAAAACCCGAGCACTAAAATATTTTAAAAATCCCATAAGAAAACTGAATTTAAAAATGCTTTATTGGCACCGTTAAACATGGCATCTCCCGGATTCTATCCTCGCAGCCGCGCGCACTCCCTCCCTCCCTCCCTCACCGTCCAATTCCATCCGCTCCTCCTCCTCCTCCTCCTCGCCGTCGCCATGGCCGCCGCGGTGGCGGCCTCCTCCTCCTCCTCCTCCAGCAGCTGCGCCGCCGTCGGCGTAGCCACCGCCTCCCACCCCCACCGCCACCGCCAGGCCCGCTTCGTCGTCTCCCCTCCCGCGCCGGCCTCCCCCGCGGCGCTGCTCTGGCGGCGGCCGCGGCGGGTGGCTCCGACCACGTTCTGCTCCGCGCCGTCGCTCGGCCGCGTCGGGTGGCCGCGGCGGGAGGGTGCCGCCTGGCTGCTGTCGTTCCGCGCCGGCCCGGTTTCTTCCCCGTCGTCGGCGGCGGCGGGCGATCCTTCCCAGGCGCTCTCCGCGCTGCTCCCGCTCGTCGTCGCCGCCACCGCCGTCGCCGCGCTCGGCAACCCCGCTACCTTCTCATGGTGAGTGGGAGATAGTCAAGTCAAGCCAAACCCCCTGGACACTTTCACGAATGTTCTTAGCTTGGAATCTTGGGGCAACTAGCACATGGTCAGCTTTAACTAATTCGATATAAATTATCACTTTGGTAGGGTCTCCAAGGAGTACTACGCGCCTGCACTTGGCGGCATCATGCTCTCCATTGGCATCAAATTATCCATCGACGACTTCGCGTTGGCATTCAAGAGGTTTACTTGCATTCTACTATACTATCCATCTCAAGATCACTAACTTGATTGTGTACAGCAGGAATATGTATGCATCAGTTTGTCTGAATGTTTCTTTCTTTGTGTGTGCTGCATTATGCAGGCCGGTGCCTCTGACGATCGGCTATATGGCGCAGTACATTGTGAAGCCGCTGATGGGCGTGCTGATCGCGAGGGCCTTCGGGATGCCGTCGGCGTTCTTTGCAGGCTTTGTTCTTACTTGCTGCGTCTCCGGCGCGCAGCTGTCGAGCTATGCTAGCTTCCTGAGCAAAGGGGATGTTGCATTGAGCATTCTGTTGACAAGCTGCTCGACGATATCTTCGGTGGTTGTGACACCTGTTCTCACTGGACTGCTGATTGGTTCTGTGGTTCCTGTTGATGGGATCGCGATGGCGAAATCCATTTTGCAGGTAATGATATGCGTTCTTGCTTGGCTGCTTAGTGATGAAACCATTCATTTTGTGGTATATATTTTCTTGTTACCCTGTCACTGTGTGCTAATGCTACTCTGCAATTTCCCATTTGCCAGGTGGTTCTTGTTCCTGTCACACTAGGTCTTCTTCTGAATACATATGCAAAAGCAGTCGTTAATGTCATTCAACCAGTAATGCCATTTGTTGCTATGTTGTGCACATCGCTTTGTATTGGAAGCCCTCTTGCTATCAACAGGAGCAAGATCTTATCTTCAGAAGGATTCCTGTTACTTCTCCCCATAGTGACTTTCCACATTGCTGCCTTCATTGTGGGTTACTGGATTTCCAAGTTGCCTATGTTGAGGTAGTTCTATAATACTGAAATCTTATTTTTACTTGTTATCAATGTCTGTCTTGTATCACTAACTTAAAACAAAATGGTGGAATTTGTTATGCATACACAACTTCATATCCCCTATCTTTTTGGGCCTCATGCCTTATGAAGTTCTGGTCCTTCCTTGATGGTACAGTATTGTTTACCAAAATTATTATTCCATCGACCTGAACTATTTTGAAGAAGTGAGCATCTTTTGTTTTGCGAACCATAATGATCAAAACTGAGCATATTTTCCAGAAATGTATAATTTTGCCCCACCATTTTCCTAAAACCATGGCATCGACTCACTTTAATCACTTTCCTGATTTATGGCCAGTTATATATAGCATTTGGGTAACTTTATCTTCTTAGTGGTAAGCTGAACTAACATCACATGACCACTAGTTGCTTTTCTTACATTGCATTCTGTAATTGGCAACTAAATCCAGAATTCTTGCAGACAAGTATACTTTGGAACCGCCTTCATGACTGTTCTTTTGAAATTCTTTTACATTGGTACTCAGGCAAGAAGAGCCCGTTTGCAGAACTATTTCTGTATGTACCGGCATGCAGAGCTCCACCCTCGCTGGACTTCTTGCTACACAATTTCTTGGAAGTAGCCAGGCAGTTCCTGCAGCATGCTCAGTTGTTATCATGGCCATATTTGGTTTGACTCTAGCATCATACTGGGGAAATGGTTTGCGAATCAGAGATATCGGTTCGAGATTTGTTCCACAAGCTTCCGCAGGTGTGAGCTCATGATAAAGCTTTTGGGGTGCAGCATTTAGATTCGTTCATGGGCTCCCCCGTCAAGTTCCAGAATTCCTGAGCAATTGGAGGCTGTAGTACACAGAAGATGCCGTGCTCTTGCTGTGTAAATCCTCCATTAGCAACAAGAGATCAGGAACTGCAAGCTGTGCATTTTTGAAGATAACCAGCAATAAGAACAGCCTTACTTAGATCGAAGGATGCTGGGATGGCACAGCAGTCAAATTATACCTTAGTACCATACAATATACTGTAGATTTCAGGTAATGCATCCTCAACTCATAGAATGTAGATATTAGATACTGCACGCCCTCGGCATTTTTATACTTGGTACAAAAATATTATGTATGTCGAATATCATTGCTCGCCATTCCTATCAAGATCAACCGCGTAGTACCCTTTTGTGCTGCTTGTTATTTTTGCTCCAGTATTTGTCAAAAAGAAATTCTGGTGTTTATTGCTTCATATTAAGTAATGACTTATGAAAAAACCCACCTAACAAATTGGGGGTAAATATAGATGAAAACGTTAAACAGCACTGCTGCTACCAGTTCTCATTCTTGTGCAAAATAAACCTGAAAAGTTTCACATATATCTATTTTATTTCTGGCTGGACAAAACCAAAAGTTTCATATACATTTTATTCTGGTGAAAAGAAAATAAAATAAAAAGGAGAGATAAGTACATTTTGTTCTGTTCCTGAAAATATCTGACTATTAATGTTTGGCATTTCTGTCAAGAACAAGAAACATACGAGTGAGACATGAAGCCTTATTTCCCTTTTGTTCTTGCATGAATTGCCTGTCCACAGGATACTATGCGGTGTACCTAGCAAGCAGAGTCGCACTCTGCAGTGTTCTCAGTTGTGAGTGCCACAAGGTTGCGGGCAGAGTCCAATTACGATTGGCCGATTTGATTGCCATTCTACATCTAGAAGATGTCACAGTTGTTTCACATGGATCTCTTTCTCTGGTCCATTTCTTTGTCGTTTTTGGTACACATGAGCAGTCCATTTCTTCAGTTTGTCGCTGCATGTAGCCATGTAGATCGCGTGGGTAGTGACAGCAACGGCCAGAAAGGAAGATTTGAGATATTTTTCAGCTGTCTTGTAGAATTTGTAGGATCTCATGATAACCTTCAATAAAGAGTATTTCTTCCATGTTATTTAGGATATTGATATGGTCTCCAATGCATGATTTTTAAAATAGCGGGATACTAAGGAATGCTATTTTGGATATTGACATATAGTCTCCAACACAAGATTTTAAAATTGTGGGATAGGAGCTTAGTATTAATGCTATTAAGAGAAAAGCAACATAATGCTGTCTAAAATTCAATTTTGGGACAGCTGATCTATGCATCGATCTCTCCATTCCATTCCATAATCTATGCTACTTTAAATATCGATAATGGTGGTATCCTTTTCCCTAACATGTGGGCTCATAAAGTGGGTAGCGTTGGTGTTTCATCAAGATGCAGTGCCTCTGGCTCTAGCTAAACCAGTGGCTTTCAAAAACCGATGGCAAAAAATGATTTGATAGGTATACAATCTTAGGCTTTAAAATGAACTAGCCTATAAATTCACGCATTCACGTGACTTTGACCATCCTACTATATAATGTAAAAAATACAAAATCTATCATTTTTCTATCTCGTTAGATAATAACCCCAGAAAGGAGAAATGAAGTCTATCAAACTTTCTCTCTGTTTTATAAACTCAAGTTCCAGCAAATTTAATAAAGTCTATATAATCTAAAATATATAGCTTCGCTCAAGAGAGGTAACTGATAATTCATATCACAACTTAAGCCTTTGAATTGAACATGACTACATTTCATTAAGATGTGGCAATGCAGCCAATTATTTTGATCGGAAGAAACAGAATCATTTCAGGTTACCCAGCCGTATGCATGTTGCTTACTTCACCTCTTGGATTTCAGCCCGAACCCCCAGCCGAACATCTTCAACCTAATGAATGGGGAAGGGCTCCATGAAATGCAAAAGATAGGAGAAACAAAGCAGGGACTCGCATAATTCGGTGCTGTCTTAACAAGCACAGCATTTTCAGGTTTTCTTGATGCATATAAAAAAAAGTACAAACTAGAGAAGGCCTCACAGGCTTCCTGATTCACACCCACAAACACACAAACTCCACGACTCATGAAATTAACTTGCCCACATGGTGTAGCATGTCCAGTGCACATAGTTTGCACGCAGAATTATGAAACAGCAACAACACACATGACCTAAACTTATCAAACTCTGCCAACAAAAAGTATGAAGGGAAATGCGCAAAAAATATAAGATACATGAAATGAAACACAAACAACAATAGAAACCAATCCATCATTCAGCTCATAAGTGGTCATGCCCCCTTAGAACTGGTTGGTTTTGATTTAGAGCAAGCTGGTCACGCAGGTTCTTCATTAGTTCCTCGTTGTGGTCACCCATGAGCATAACTTCTTTCAGGCTTGGAAGAGATGACACACCAAAAAACCCATTGTTGTCTATGTGCATGCAATTATTTATCTGCAGCAACTCAAGCCTTGGCATCGCTCCTTGCAAGAAGTTTAATGATTTGAGGCCTTCTTGATCTTTAAGCTCCATCACTACAAGGCTTGGGAAAGTGCCCTGCTGAAAATCGAAAAGTATTTTTTTGCTCTGAAGAAAAGAATTCTTCCACAGTCGTAGAATGACCAAATGTGGTAGCTTCCCAAGGATTTCCATGGAAGGAGCCAACTTCAACTGGGTGCTCCTAAGCTTCAACTTAGCCAAATTCTGGAGTTGGGTGATCCATATTGGTAGTGTAACTAGATTTCCATAAATCTTGAGACTTTGAAGCTTACTTGGAGGTGCAAATGTGTGATCCAAACAACCTTGTAAACCTGGTTCCCCCTCTGCTTGCAATGATAATGAGTGTAAGAGGGCAAGGTTTGCAATGGCAGATAGGATAGCTTGGCTATTTTTCTTATTGACACCCGTCAATCCTAACTTATGTAGTTTTTTAAGTTTTTCAAGCTCACGCAATATGACTTTCCCGGCTGCAACGTTAACAACACCAAGTGTGTGCAGGTCATTCAGTTGGCCAATCCCTTCAGGTGCTTTAACACCATACATATCAAGTCCCTGTGGAATGCCAGGTAACAAGACCTTGCAATATTTGTGGAATATGTCATGCTTATTTACATTGTCATTATTTTGCATTGTTTTTGTGATATATGCTTTTGTCGTGTCCAATACCGTCATGCCAAATTGAACTGATTTGACTTCAACATCTGGTATTTCCAAATCATTAATTGGCTCGTGCTCCATTTTCGAAAGATCACTTGATTCTTTCAACTCTATAGAAGAGGTGGCATCATCCTTTGGTACATGGCCGGCACGAAGGTAGTGGAGCTTCTTTAGCTTGGTGATGGTCTTTGGTAGCTTGATGATACTTGTGCCACTGACATCTAACATCTGGATGTCCCACAAGTTGCCCAATGAATTTGGTAGATGATAGATATCAGTGCATCCTCTCAATGAAAGGTACCTAAGGTGAAGAAAATTGCCAATTTGACTCAGGTCACGATCTTTCAAACCAGATGTGCCCTCCAAATCAAGAATCCGAAGCATCCTCATCATGCTAAAATCTAAAGATGCTCTGCACTCTCCAAATATAGTCACTGATCGTACATGGGTTAGGTCAACACACTTCAATGCGTTCTTGTTTGTCTCACCAGTGTTGATTATAGATAAATGTCGTACTGTACCTTCATTATTAGAGCTAACTTCAAGTACAAAGCCATGATTTTCTTCCATGGATTTTGAAACACTAATCTTGTGCATAAGATTATGTACTCGACAATATTCAATATTGCCAACATTGTGAGCTGGTACTGGTTCTGATGGTTGAATGATGCTTCTATTGATAAGCTCTGCAAAATAGCTCTCACCAACTTCTTCTGCACTCAAGCTATGAGTCTTACTTATGTAACCTTCTGCAACCCAACGTCTTACTATGCGTTTGCGCCTAATATTATGGCCTTTGGGAAAAACAGATAAGTACAGAAGGCATAACTTTAGATGATAGGACAAGTTATTATAGGATGGTTCAAGGGTTGTACTTATCATTTCAAGATTTTCTTTGTTCACTGACCCAGAAGTAAAATTATCATTCAACTTCTTCCATTCTGTAGTTGTTTTTTGCTTTCTTGCCAAGAAACCAGCAATATTGGTTATTGCAAGAGGATGACCATCACACTCCTTTATGATGAGTTTTGCTTGAGTAATCATGTCAAGATCCAAATCAATATTTGAACTATCTACAAATACCTACAGTTGTTATGAGAAGATTATCAACATGTGCACAAATATAAGGTGGATGAGGTAGATTGTTTCTTAAAAAAAAACTAATGACAAAAGAGTTGCTACAGAAAGAGAACATGATGAAATATCCCAAACCAAATTTCAAGAGGTTCTCATAAAAATGCTCAGACTAGTATTGGCACACATTGACAAAAGACGACATCAATGCTCATAAACCACATTGAATACTCAAATAGTATAGTGAGATCTCCATATATAACTTTGATAGTTAACTGGAAAAAGTTAAGACTTCGAGTACTATATGAAGGAATCTTAACCAAAAAACTTAATATCCACAGTTTACAAAGTGATTTTAATCACGAGTACTCCTGATCATTTTCTCTTGGTCACTTAGCAATTATTTTTTGTAGATAATTAACATTTAATTACCTATATGATGAACATTTAATGCTCAGAAGTTTGATTGCCAAGCATAAAAAAAAATTCTTTTTAGGACTAGAGGAATACCTTGTTCTTGAAGAGTGCAAATGCCGCATCTTCTTTAAGACCTTCTAGCTTATATATGTTTTTGCATGTCATCGAGCAATGCTCAGCAATACTTGCTTCTCTCGTGGTGTGTAACGCTCCGCTTTTCGTGAGACGTTAAAAACTAATTTGGCAAAATCCTAATTGCGAAATTTCGTTCTTTGAGTGTTGAGTCTAAGTTGTGCCAAAGATCTCAATTTAAATCCCTCCCTTGTCTCGATACCCTGTTATCAAAGATCGTCTCCTCAAAATTACCATCCCAATGTAGTCCCGAAGCTCGATTCCTTCTATTCGAAATCCCCTCCTGGAACCCCATCCGTGAACTTTGTTGAATGCCCGAACCCTAACTCCGTCCAAGGATTCACCTTCGCGTCATAAGCTCTCTCCTTGGTTCCTTCAAACCGATTCTTAAATTCAAATTCAACCTCTCAGGTTTTGATTCATCTATCTTTCTCTCTGTATTGGTTCATCAATCTACCCTTGTTTTCTTTCTCGAACTTCTGACCCAAGTCTGAATATGCAAATCGAGATCACTTCCACCCTTGAACTCTAAATCCCAAGATTCAATCCCTTTCGCCTTGAGTTCTCCCCAAAATGATTTCCGTTCCGAAATAATCTCGAAGTCCGAACCCTTCTATTCATACTTCTCTCCAAAATCCTTACCCACATATCTCGTTGAGTAGTCAAACTCAAACTCCCAAGTTACACTCTCTTTCTCTAAATTATCCATCCCCTTTTGACTCGTCTCCGAATATTGTTCCCTTCCTTGACTCCTCCCCCTCATCCATATTCCTCTTCCAATTCAAGTCTCCAAATCAAAAACCCCAATTCGAATCCACTCCAAATTAGTCTTCCCTGTAAAAGTCTATTTTGCCTCCTCCATGTTTTTGGATGGGCCGGATCCACTCCCCAGCCCATCTCTCTCCTTTGCCATCTCCCTCACGTGCGCTGCACGAGCCGTCGCCGAGAGAAGGATCTCTCTCTCTCTCTCTCTCTCGTTTTCTCGCTCCCTCTCTGTTTCTCTCTCGCGCCGACACCGCTTCCCGCCGTCGCCGCCCAAAACCTCCACCGCCTTCGCCCATTCCCGCGCGCGCCTCGCGAGGTGGCCGACCGGCCGGTCGCCGCCGACGCCATGCGCTGCCGCCTTGCCCCCGCTCCATGCCAAACCGACCGCCGCCGTCATCGTCGACGTTATCCATGGCCCCCCGCCACTCCACGCCGCACCCGTCCAAGAGTGGGAGAAGCAGCTGCTCTCCCTCTCCTCCTCCTCCTCCTCACTCTCCCTCTCCTCATTATGGCAAGGGACCAAGCCCCTTTTTCCCCTTCTTTTTCCCTTTCCCGACCACTACCGGTGTCACTGCCTCTGCGCCGCTTGACCGACCGCGCCAACTCGCTCTCCTTGACCGCGCCAGCCCGCGCTCCCGCGGTTCGATTTCCACCGCTCGATCCACCGCCTTCGCCGCCCAACACATCCACACCGTCGCCGCTTTCGCACCGCCCACGAAACCGCCGCTACCGCCAGCCGAGCACTTGACCGCCAAGGTCAGTTCTCCCCTCCCCAAACCGACCTCTCCTCCGCTATAAAACCAAGCCACCCCAAACCCCTTCCTCTCTCGTTTTCACTCGCCTCAGTCCTCACACCCACCGCGCCATTGCCGCCGAACCACCGTCGCCGCCTTGTTGCTGCTCGTCCCGCTCTCGCCGTTGCCGTCCGTTGCCGAGCACCGGAGGAGCTGGTGCGTGCGTGGACGCGTGACGAGGAGCTCCGGGCACCACCTCTCCCTCCCTTCTTCCCTGGCCGCGCCCTCTCGGTGCCGTGCCGCCTCGGCGTCGCGACCACCTCGCCGCGACACCGACCGCGCCGCCAACGCTGCTTCCTCTTCGTTGGTGAGCTCCCCACCATAATCCTCCTCCTGCCGCGCGATGCGCCGCGCCCGCCGCTGCTCGCCATAGCTCGCCACGCGCTCTTGCTCTGTCCCGGAGGCCGCCTCTCGTCGATAGCCCTTCTCGGTGTCTCCCGTCCAATCCGACCCCGGGAACGAGTTCCCCGAGTCCTAGAGATGCTCCCGCCCCTCCGAATCAAACTCCCGTTGCCCCGGTGAGTTTTCCCCTTTTCTCCGCCGGCGATGGCCGCCGCCGCAATCCGCCGCTGTCGGCCCTTCTCCCGCCGATTCCTTGCGCCGCGACCCTCCCCGTGTTCCCTTGAACCTTCCAGTCCGCCGCCCCAGCCGCCGCCCTTCCCTTTTGCTCCCGCGCTGTGCCGCCCTTTCCGCCGCCGCACAGCGCCGCCACAAGTCAAGACGCGGCGACCATTGGGCCCCGAGCCACTTCGCCTCGCGTCGCACTCGCGTACCGGTTCGGCTAAGCCTCATCCCGCGCTCCCTCCTCCCTCCTCGCGCTCGACCGCATCGAACATCCGGCGAGCTTCGCCGCCGCCGCCGGCCGCCTTCGCACCTTCCCCCTCCGATCCGAGCCGCGGAATGGGTTCCCTGCCCCCTCCTCTTCCCGTCGGTGCTAGCCGCCCTCTCCGGCTCGCCGCCGTTCGCCGGCGCCTCTCGGCCGCCGTGAGCCGTCCGATCTCGGGCGAGCTCCCTCTCTCCCTCTCTCCCGTTCCCGCCAGCGTGGCATACACTTGGACGCCACCTCAACCGCCGGCCCTAGCTTGACCAGGTCAAGCGGACGCCACCTCAGCCGCCCATCGGCCACCCTCCTCCTCCGCCTGATAAGACAAAAAAAAAGTCCATCTTTCCTCCCTCCCTAAACACAGTGAGCAAAAGTCTATATCTGCTCCCTCCCAATTCACCTCTCTCTCACCATATGTTGGCCCCACATGAACAAAAGTCCATTTGAACCCTCTCCTTGAACAGTACACCCTTGGCCCCGCTCGTCAGTGACTGTCAATAATATTCTAGTGAATATTATTTCTATAAATTCCATAAACCATTTCTCGTATTCCAGAAAATTCCGATAAATCATTTCCTTGTCAAGAAATTCCAATTAAACTTCTAAAATTCATATCTCTCGATCCGTAACTCCGATTGACTCCGTTCAGCTTCCAGTATTTCCGTAAAATTGAGATATATCTAATGGCACTATTAATTAGTCTAAATAGGATCTTTATTTTGGGTCTTGTGTAGGTTTTTAATTGTTTGCGTATAGTTGCGGTTACCGGATTTTCGTCGATCGCGGGTTTTCTTGAAAATTCGTGAAGCTTCGTGAAGACCTTGAGCAAGGCAAGTCACCCTTTGATCAATTGCCCCTATAACTGAAAAGTCATTATTATTTTGTTTGCAACTTGCATTATTAGAATCACACACTTAACTTGCTTGGCCTCGGTTTGCGTGCTAAACCGACGGACCTACCCAGTAGTCGCACTAATTGCTGTAGGTTGTACTACCCTGATTTCCTTGTCGCTCCACCTTTGTGGTACCTCGGTATCCGTGCTCTCTGAGCGCGTATACCAAATATCCCACATACACCGTTGTTTGTCGAAAACTTGAGAAATGGGTTTGAGAAGCCTTGAAAACCCGACATGTGGCGTCGGTGTGTTGGAAAATAAAATGGATTGTGAAAACTCGCGATGCGGGGGTTGTGCCTGTGTGGCACTGTCCCGTATTCGCATATAAGGACCGATTCCCGTGGAAAATTCATCCGAGCATAGAACAAGTACGACCACATGGGTGGAATGGGACACCCCTGGCTGAGTAACTAGCTTATCAGGGGAGCCTTGATGCCGAGAGACATGTGGATTCACCGGGGTGGTGTCGGGGAGGACCCCTGGGCTTCCTGGCACAGTATGGTCTGGGACCTAATCTGGTGTTGGTTTGGGACCCCTCTTGTTGGCATATGGTGAACCTGTGTCGGCTTTCGAAATGCCTTGTCATGAAAGCTTGGAGGTCTCCCGACGTGGCTGATCCCCACGGGCTGGGTGATCCGGGTTAGTAATGTCGTGTGGGTAAAGTGTACCCCCTCTGCAGAGGTTAACTAACTGTTCGAACAGCCGTGCCCGCGGTCATGGGCGGATGTGAGGTGTTTCCTGTAGCGTAGATTTGTTTGCCTGTGCTTTGTGAAAAGTTGTTGTGGTGTGGGAATCGTTACCAGAATCAGCCTATGTGGCAGATGGATGACCTGAGTGGTCAAGAAACGAATCTGTGTGATTCGGGATGTCTATGGGCATCATAGTCTAGGCTTCCCGAGTGGAGCGGATTGTTGTGCTACTGGGCAGCTGGACTCTGGGAGTCCGAGAAAATGAAAAAGGCTCTGGGAGCCGATTAATCAAGTGGAATGGCTCAGGGAGCCGAGAAGTAATGATCTGACCCGGGAGGTCGGTACATTACCAAATGAGCTGTTGAAAAACATCTCTTAAAGTCGAATCGAGACGCAAGTCTCTTTTCGGCCCAAACTTAGAAAGAAATAAGTCACTTAGTGATTTCAAAATGTCTTCAAATAAAAGATTTGCAAAACAACCTTGCCTCTCTTCCAAGCTTGCATTAAACACCTAAATTCCCGTGACTTGCTGAGTACAAAAGTACTCACCTTTGCTCTATATAAATATATATATAGTTCCTCCGCCCGGAAGTTGAAGATAAAGTAAAGTGAAGATTAGGGTTTCGCCCTGGTTCCCAGCCGTCGCCTATGGTGTTGGGTGTTAGACCGTTGGTTCCGCTGCTGCTGCTGTTGTTGGTGTTCGCCTCGTCCGTGTCGTCGGTTGTATTCTCGGGCTGTCTGAGCTACAACCTAAGTTAAGGTAAATAAGTCCTCTATTTATTTTAAGGATTGCTATGATTCATATTTGTTACCGTGGGTACCAGCACTATGTCCTGGGACTGGTACCGAGATCGCGGTTTCGTAGGAAGCGGTTCGCGCCGTTTTCCCCTACGACACGCTCCTGTCAGGTGCCATTGTACGGCGGTACCAGATTGGGGTGTGACATGGTGACTATGATCTTTGTGTTTGTTTCATTAGGAAAATGAGGTTGTATCAAGTTCCATTCTTCAATAGATAATACATCATCAAGGACAAGGAGGCATCTCCTCTTTGAATGCTTGATTGAT